ACTGTAACAAATGTCAAGCATGGTGATGGTAGCATCACAATCTGGGCTGTTTTGCTGCCAGTGATGCTGGTACATTGTGCAAAGTGGATGGAATAATGAAGAAGGACTCTGTCCAAATTGTTCAGTTTCACCTCCAATCAACAGCTGGATGATTGGAACTTGGACACAGTTAGGTGTTCCATGAGGAAAATCTTCCCAAACACACATCATAATTAGCTTTGGAATAGATAAAGCAGGCTAACATTAAGCTTCTGGAAAGGTCTTTCCAAAGCCCAATGAAAATTTATGAAAACTATAAAACTGCTCAGACCTAAATAAATAGGTCTATTTAAATGAACTCTACCAATTTTACCAAACAGAGTGGTCACATATCCAGTCAGAATTATTTTCCGAGACTTGTTGATGGATACCAAAAACAACCCAGTCAGGGTGCAACGTAAGGGACATTTAACCAAATATTAGTGAGGGTGTATGTATATATTTGAGCCTGTGTTGATTAGAGAAAACCCAAAATAAATTCAAACTTGTGCACCTAATTCTCATTAAAAAAAAATCATTAAAGATGCTGTACAGTCATCCCAACCGGAAAAAAGAACAGTTAACAGAACAGCTCAAAATTAGCATGATATTCATGAGTGTACTGTATGCTGGCGTGGTAACAGTGTGGACCCTTGTGTAAGTAACACTGGACCTTTATGCACCGACTATCAAAAGAATGGGAACCTTTTCAGTTGACTGCTGATTAATATGGTCATATTTTCACTATAGAGTCGAGCACGAGAGGCATGAAGTAGCGCTCACAGCACTGTCATCCATCACCAAACAGCTTTAAGCCTCTTTAAAATTGAATGAAGTGTGTTTTGTAAGAAATCTCAATTGAAGTTCAGGTAATTACTGAGTATTTGATTAGCAGTATTAATACCAACCCTGCACGGACCAGGAAACTTGCCCACAATCATATTTTACCGTAGATGCACAAGATCAAGCGGTAATGCTATACTCAGGCCAGCACGAGTATAATACTCATGTTGGGTTTTACTACATGGGTCGCTGCATGGAGCATGAAACTAAAACACAGCCAAGAGTTTAATTATCTCCAGGTTCAGCTCTGTTCATGAAGCACTTTGGATAAAAGCCTCCACTGATTGGCAGAGGTTTGCAGTAGAATGAGCATAATAGTAGAGCAGAGTGAGGTGTCAGAACAGGGGGTTGGGCCCTGTACTGTTATTATCAAATTCCCCACATTACACTGCTAGGTGTTAATCATTAGAGAGGAGGGATGATTGTGGTTTGATGACAGAAAAAGAAAGAAATCGAAATTCATCTCAGCCACCACTTTCAAAGTAGTGTTATTGTTTGTTTTTTAAGCTTTTCTTGTCACTATTGTTCCACAGTGTGTTTGTCTTGTCAATTCAGTTTTATTTAAATAGCACCAAGTCCCAAGAACAGCTGCCTTAAGGCGCTTTATATTGTTAGATAAAGAGCCTACAATAATAGAGAGAGAAACTCCAACAATCAAACAATCAGAAGTTCGAAAGAAAACTTTCAACTAGTTATAGCCCATCAGTAAAGCACCAAAAACAGGCTGCTTTCCATTAAGATGGATTCAAATGTGGCTAAATGTACAAATAACACAATTGTCCTCACATTGGAATAATATTTTAATAAATAAATAGCAGCATCACACAGAAAAAAAAACATCATGTGGATGGTGACATAAATTGTAAAAACTCATAAAAATGTGTCATAGACAAACATTCACAATTAAAATGGTATAAAAAACAAAAAAATTAAATAAAACAAAAAAACAAACATCCACTACATAACACAAAAAAGTTCAACGCATAAAAAGTTCAAACCCACGAGCGCCGGATAATACAAGAACGAGACAAACCAGATTTCTGTGTCGATGCAAACCAGCATCAAAGAGGGTGGTTAAATTCGGGGCTCGAGAACGAATGTCGTCTGCAGTGAAATTGGATTTAGAGTTGCTGGGTTTGTCAGACTCTTGAACATCTTGGCTACTTTCTGAGCCATTTAGTGACAGAGTTGCATGTTTGGGAAGATCAACCAGAGTACCTTTCAAAAAGCTCTGCTGAAAAGTCTGATTAGCATTTTTGCAAATGCATTTTTATCTGAAAACTGTAACATGTTGCGAGCTCCTGGGGTTCTCTTACACCCTTTGACATCCTTCCAAATGATCCGGAAATGGCAGGAATTATTTTGTGTTTAATTGCAGCAATTTATTGCTATTTCCGTGAGATAGAAAAGTAAAGATTATGACATTCTGGGAAATATGTGCATTTGACTTTGTTGCTGTTTTTTATGATTTTATATACACAATAGGATGTGCTCATATGAGTTGGCATTTCAAAAGTCTTGTCCATCGTTATGTTTGGACTGAAATATTGAGAACTGATGTAAAAGCGCAGAGGATATTTTTGCTACATGCTTACATCACACCAGAAAACTGTCAGGATGATATTTTCTGGGCCAAAGTGAGTCCGGACAGAATCAGGATCATATTAAATAATCAAGGCTTGCTAAGGTTGGCTTTAGTGCTTTTTCTTCTCCTTCATGATGAACAGGGTACATTGCCAAACAGAATAGATCTTCTGTTCTGTATAAGTTGCTGGAAAATAAAAAAATGTTATTTTCTAACCTTTTAACAGGCACTAAATCTGGTGATGCTAGAGAGTAGGGTTAGGGATATGTTAAAGTCAAAGTTTTTCTATAGAATTTCTGCCTATTTGGAAGAAATGCAAACACTAATACCTGCAATGCCAAAATGAATTTATTAATTGTGTGTATATTGCAACCATAATCCCACCCTGGGGGGAGACCAGGAGGATGTTAAAAGGTTAAGCTCTTGAGTATACTCCACTGTGGACACCTGATGACTGAGTAGTCTTTCCTGATTGAAGTCTGCCACCTGAGGCGCTTACATAGTTGGCATGCAATTTCTCCTCGGATAACTCAGAGCTGTTACAAAAAGCATGCAAGCACAGGGACATCCACATGGACCCTTGCACTCACTGTTTGATGATGAAATTACTTGCAGACATACAAAGTATAATCCCGGCTTATGTGCCAGGTGTTATTCAAATATACTATTTAATCATAATGCGTTATAAAATATGCACTTACAGCAAAATGAAGCCTGGCATAGTGCATCATTTTATACCAAAAGTAGGAGATTCTGATGTAATCATCATAAAAAAATCATAAAAATTACGAAATGAACCCCCATTAGCACTAGCATGTCAGACCTGTCTTCAAGTGCTAGCATGGAGTAACTAATATTTGCTAGCTAGTTAGCTTAACCAAGGTGCTATTGAAATTCCAAAACTATAATTCACAATTTGTGGCCACAAAAGAAGTTCTTATAATACTTCTACTTGTTGGGTTTTTTAAATAAATAATAAATGACAGATTATGTATTATTCAGATGTGTTGCTAAGGCTAGCAGGTTCACTCTGCTCCCAGTGTTTATGCTAGCCTAGGCTAACAGTGTCCTGGCTTTGCTAATGATCATCTAATTAAAGCAAAAAAACACATTTCTCATAATGTCAGAACATTCCTTGAGTCTCTGTATAGACACATAATTCCTTGAAAATGTAAAATGATTCATACCAGGTAAGAAAATGTGTCAGCTAACACAAGATACAGCGCATTGTCATCCCTTTATGAGTTTCTATATACTGCTGTAGCATTTCTGGGATTTTTCCTTTAATCTTTAACATAAACCCAAAAACCTCTCCGAGAGGGAAGAATCTTTCTCTCTTTCTTTGTACTGAAAAGAAAGTCTGTCAGAAAACGGCTCCAGCTATGTCTATACACACCAGGCCTGGATCGAATTTCACTGAAATCTTTTCAAAGTGATTGCTTTCAGCTGTCCGGACAGGACTGGCACCTGCAGGGACGTTCGCGGTTCAGTCCACTGTGCTGGACACAATCAATAAAACCCAGAAAAGCTTCTGAATCAATCTCAGACTGCAATTTGAGCCAAGCTCGGTACACACACAGGTACACGAGAAACATAGAGCTATTACATTGTGACATAGTGAGTTGGCTGGCCTGGCAGCGGCTCTTTCCATGCCGGAACACAATCCTTTCAACCACGTTCAGAGAGTCCTCTCTTCTCCTTTTATTTTTTTTCTTGTTTTTCCCCTTGTTTACATATTATTGTGATAATTGGGAAGTCAATGAGGATAAAATGCCCGAATGCTGTTTGGATGGTGCGTTTTGTTGATTGCCCTGTGTTTGTTCTTTATTTCTTTCCTGTACTTCACAAGAAAGCAAAAACCTAAGTGAGGCAGAGAGGACCTTTTGAACAACACTTTAAACATGCATGATATTCGTGGGTCAAACCTCATTGTTGGCTTGCCAACATTAGCTCATGTAGATCTCTCCTTGTGGAGACAAAAGTGGTGCCAATGCCCACTGGGTAAGTCTGTAGCATACAAATAGTGGATAAATTATACAGAGGCGCATAGAATTAGAACAAAGGGAACTATTATGGTTCATTCTAATTGCATGCAGAGGTGGCTGCAGACCTCAGGCTCTAGGTTCGATTGATCACATTGAAGGCTTTGACCTTTTACTCTTTGATTTTGAAGGGCATAGGGGAGATTATGGGTAATAAACATTCAAGTGTTTGTAAGTTCTTAGTGTTTTTATATGCTTGAGGCGATTATTAAGAACATCAAATATTGATTTCTAGAGAAACTGCCATCTACTATACAAAAGTAGTCATTAAGTGTGAGCCAGTCAGAGATATTATGTTTTAGAAAGTATTCGTTTAGAAAAACGAGGCAGATTGAACAAAGACTGGTCAATAAAGTGGAAACAGTGGATGGAAAGAGATTTTCCAATAATGCAAAGTATTCATCTTTCATTTTAAGGGTCTTTTTTCTACTAAATAGCCATCTTTCTAGTATTGTTTTCTTTTATGGAGAAGTGCTGTGATTTTGTTTTTCTTTGAAAAACTCCAGTAAATTTAGCCCAACTTTTAATTTAAGGTTAAATCTTCTTTATACATTCATATCTTATCTTCTAAGAGGCGAAGTTCTTGATGAAAAGCATGAACTTGACCTTCAAACTCCACACAGTATTATATCTTTTGTAAGGTGGAGTGTTGCAGATACTTAGTCTTTGCTGTTTTAAAACAAGTTTTCCATCTAGCATTTTGGGTATTTTACTTCCACAGGACACATTGGATCAATAAAAACAAGCAGGTTTGTAAAGCTAGCAGAGTGCTGTATTACCTATCTGCATCTTTGACTGCGTCTTTGACTTAAGATTATATAGTCTACATTAGGGGTGTTGTCCAGAATCGTCCCAGCAAATGGATCCCATCCTGGTTGGCCGAGTGTTTTTGAACAACGTTCAGGGTGCAGAGAAGGAATTTTTGTCTTTAACACAAAGTTTTACAAACTGCCATGAGAGCGACTGGACAAACTGCTGATTATTTCTTCCTGACAAAGATGTTATTAATGGTCTGTCACACCAAACCAAGTTTGTGTAAAACCAGTGAGCTGTGTCTTTTGTTTGATTTATGACCCTGGGATTTCTTTGCAGTGACGGTCGACCAGAACTAAGACATATTTTTGAAGATCTAGTTCCTTTTTCAGGCCATCTCAGGCTGTTCTTCATCGATTTTGTAAATGGATCGTTCGTTAAATGTGAATGCCTTGACAGTAAAAACTAAAAGCTGAGGTATTTCTAGCAGGAATTAGAATCGGGCCGATTAGAACTACCTCATGATGTCCTCTGTTATCTCGGATAAATTTGTGAATTTGTTCATGAGAAAATCAAACTGCAGGTATTTCATCCAGAGTGGATGAAGCATGCCGTCTTGTCAGATGTCAATAAAAATGTGGGAGGAGGGAAAGTGGGAGTGAGAGAGGTGGAGTCAGAGTGACAGGGCTCTGAGTGTTGGGGACTTTGTCTCTTAGGGTATCGACTTTCTGTCCGTCTCACGGATGAAATCTAAAGCTACTTGGTCTTAACTGTGAGTTACTGTGAAGCTGTAGAAGATCAGAGAGTCTGACTCAGTGCAGGGTTGAAACGCTGCCAAGCAAACCATCATTGGAGCTTTAGTTTCAGTGTAATTCTTTGATTATTACTAAAATTTGTTGATTTATATGCAAACAAAGCCACTAGTGTTCTTTAATTTCTTCCTTTTTTTGGCTTTCACTCTACCCTTCAAGCAGGTTTTAGCCTGCAGAATGACTGAAACGGGACTAAATTAATAACTGTCCTTGAATACAAATCCCTCATTCTTTTCTTTTTTAAAGTAGATGACACAGAGGTTCTTTTCAATTCAAGGATGTGTCCTTCACAGATGCCCAGAATATCAAATTGCGAAGATTTGTGCTTGTAGATGATATGAAAATCCTGATGCGTAACCTGATAATATGATATGCATGCTCATTGGTTTGGGATATAGTCAAGATTAAAGTCACATATAAGTTGTGGCAAATCAATCAAAAATCAAACCTGCTTTGACTCAAACTTTTCATTTATTTGCATGAGGCTACGTTACACTGTAGTCTTGTTTTAATGGGTGAATGCAAAAGATATACATTTCCCCGTTTGGCTTGTATAAAGAAAAGAGTGGGAATGAGTAATGAGTGTAAACATGAAAAGAGTTCAACTTAACATAAAAAAATTACATATAATGCATTCCTTTTAGACTGTTTTACTTTTATTTAAGATTTCATTGGTTGCTTTGAGTTAAAAACCTGTGGAAGTAGTGAATTTAGCATTTTGCAAAGTGTTTCTGTTGGTCAACAGAAGCCAGAGCCTGTCAGCTGTGTTAAGCCAAAGGCCTGCACCTTGTTTCTTAGCTCTTGTATCCCCCTTGTTCAGTCCAATAAAGGAGAAAGGGGGAGGGTAAGAGGCGACCTCTCTGAGTCATGTGACCACTAGATGGCACTGTGAGTCCACCAGAGACCAGCGGTAGTACATTCCTTTATGTTGGTCCCCTCAGACACGCTTCAACTGCAGTTTCCTTCAGAGAAACATCCCCCTCCTGTCGGCTGAATAGTTTCATTAAACATGCTGGAGAGGTTCATTCAGATGGCTCTCAGGACTGCTGTTGTTGTCAAGCTCGACCGGCACAAAAATATATTTGGTTTAGTTTGCTTGGTGTGGAGGGAATCCACGTGGACCCGAGCTCGGACTGCATTTTGACTCTGTGTGAAGGCTTGAAGGCGTAGTTTGACCCCAGTGGCCTCCCGGTTGGTGCTTGACTCTGTAACCTGCGTCTGTGGGACTCCGTGAAGGGCCACTTGACTTAATGCTAGGTTGACGAGAGCTGGCTCTCCACCGACCTCTTCACTTCATCCCTTTCAGTGGATCTCAGCTGGTATTGTCAATGCCATGAGGAGCCCCCACATCTTGCCACTGATGAGTGCTTAGATGTATAGGTAAAGGCCTGGTGGATGCCTTTGTTTTCTATTAATGTTATGAAAGCCAACATTTACAAAACGAGCACACTGGAAATATTGGTTTTCATTCTACCTTTCCAACCCGAAATATTAACTCTTCCGGTTTCTTTCCACATTGATGAACATAGTACGGAGAAAAAGGCTTGTCAGCAGAGACTAGTCCTTTTCCCAGTAAGAGTCCTCACTACAGTTGAAACCAGTAGAAAAGCTGTCGTGTCCAAGCACCAGCCCTGCTTGGAACAGCATCTGCAGGTTGCAGAAGACTAAAACTGACCGGATGCACACAGTCACACGCTGCTTGTGTGTTCTCTCGGGGCAGGGCTGTAGCTGATGAGTGACAGCTCCGGCTCCAGCTCCGGCTCCAGCTCCGTTTCCGGCTCTGTTTCTGAAAGCATGCAAATGTTCTGGCACTCCGAAATGCTCTGCGAGGTTATTCCGAATTGCGTCCCATCGTCCGTTGTGTCCTCCGGGTCCACTGCGAGCCTCCCGTTATCCCCCCTACCGCCATTGCGACAGTTACTGTTGCGGTCCACACCTGCCTTCCCGTGATCGCCCATAAGAAGAGGAGTCACGGCGTGTGAAGGGCATGGCGGCGGGACGAGGAGGGTTTTGCAACCCTGGCTGGCTGCGTTGGCCCCGACTTTGTACTGGCACCTGATGTAGCTGGAGAACGCTCTCCTGTAGGTCTTATTGAAGAGGGTGTAGACCAGAGGGTTGACTCCAGAGGAGATGTAACCCACCCAGACGAAGACGTTGAGGAGGTCGTGGAGCAGTGACTCGTTGCAGGAGTTGCTGCACAAGACGAAGGTGACGTTGGTGATAAAGAAGGGACACCACATGATGAGGAAGAGGAAAAAGACGATTCCTAGAACCTAGAAGAAGAGAGAGGGGGAAAAGGAAGAGGAGGAAAGAAAGAATAAGAAGAAGATAGTGAATAGAAAGTTTGCCAGTTTGAATACCTTCCAACCGAAACGTTCTTTTTCTTTCAATATCCCAGCGATTGCACCACTTCTAGTAGGATTTAAACTTATTTTACAGATATAAGAGGGCTTTGGTTTTCATCCAGAGTTAACCTGAATTTTCAGAGGACAATGCCAAGCCCGAGTCACACATTCAGCGACTCCAAGTCTTTTTACTCAAAGTGTCTGGCACAGAAACACGCCATTCAGAAGAGAAGTGATGATGATGCATTAAACGAGACATTAAATAGTTTTCAGACTTTGTAACCTTGTAACCGGAAGGTCGCCGGTTCGATCCCCGGGCTCTCTGTCCTGGTCGTTGTGTCCTTGGGCAAGACACTTTACCCTACCGCCTACTGGTGTTGGCCAGAGGGGCCGATGGCGCGATATGGCAGCCTGGCTTCTGTCAGTCTGGCCCAGGGCAGCTGTGGCTACAACTGTAGCTTGCCTCCACCAGTGTGTGAATGTGAGAGTGAATGAATAGTGGCATTGTAAAGCGCTTTGGGTGCCTTGAAAAGCGCTATATAAATCCAATCCATTATTATTATTATTATTCAGAAAAGGCTACAGTATGCTATAACAACTGTATAAGGCAACCTTTTGGCAAACACATACAATTTGCTGTGTACACTGACCCCTAGTGGTCAAACAGTGGCGCACTTTTAAGTATTTACTTCTAGTCTAAGTAGTACTGAGCACTATTTGAACGTTTTTGACTACACCGCTGATGGTGTATGCCTGAGGATTATTACTTAGGAATCACCTTTTTAACTTAATGGTAAGTTTATTTTATTTTAACACAGCACAACCAAAGTAAGACCAAGTTAAAAAGCCTTTTGTTTGAAAGCTTTAGAGGTTTTTCCACCAAAGCATTCCGAAATTGAAATTGTTGGGGTGTGGATTTTGCTATTCTTGGGGTCATTGTCCTGTTGCATGACACAAAACATCTGCTTTTGTAGAGGTTGATCTCAGACTCGCAGACTTCAGTTGTTGTTCATCTCAGGTTGTGTTTAAGACCAAATATATACTTTTTAATGTCCTGATTTGTAAACCATTAAAACTTTAAGAGGGTGTACTTATTGCACATTTATCATTTACCCCCTGATTACTCCTTTTTATTCTCACCTTCGAGGCCCGTCTCTCATTTTTTATGGCCTGCATCATCCCCCGGCGACCGTGACTTGACGCATCACTCCGGCCCGGTCCAGCTGCCGGCGAGCTGAGCTGGGACGCCACCTCAGAGCTGGGAATGATGCTGATGCTATCTGAGGTGGAGGCGCTGAGCAGAATGCTGGGCTCTGTGCCCTTCAGGCAGCTCAAGGTGTTTCGTCTGCTTTGAGGAGGCGGGACCTTCAACTCTGAGCAAGGGGCAAAAAAACAACCATTTAAATTTCAAACTTTTGCCTTTAAAATGTTTTAGTGGAAAGCTGAATGGCTGGACTTGCACATGTTATCATTATGTGTCAACCAGAAAACTGCTGCCTGTACAGCCAGCCAATGAAAGAATGTCAAGTTTTCTATTAACACTGCAGCTGATATTTTGTAGGGTAGAGGCGAGATGAAAAGTTAAGGCACGAGCTGAATGTTTCATTTTCAATTTTCTGTGTCTGGGATTGGAGAGAGGATAAGATGGAAAATGGGCAGAGACTGCAGTATCATGCAATTTTATCTGAACTGGAGAAGCCAAGGCTTGGCCTGGAATGGGAAACGTCCGAGTGGCGCCCAAACTGATCAGATCAGATAGATGCTGTTTTCGCAGCAGCACAACAACATCTCAGGAAACAGCTGACGAAGTGTGCTTTCTGTTTCGCCTTACCCACTGTAAGTGCTCGGAGCTGGAGAAACTTTTTTGCAAAGCTTTGTCCTTCTGTTATTCCCGCTGAGCAACGTGGCCTACACGTGATTTACGATGACAATACAAACTCTTAGGTATCGAGAAATCCCTCTGGGAATCCTGTAATTATGCACTTCAAGAACATACAGTAATTATAGAAGCACTTGCCTTGTAGAGAGGTGTAGACCAAGCTCATTATTTCTAGTATCATAAACCTGAAAAACATCTGTTATGGGTTTTCTCATGCATAACTAAACTTAGAGAGCAGATGCATTTAATAAGGGAATACCTGATATCAAATGTTGAAAGATAAGCAGACTTGTTACATCAGGTACACCCTTTAGGTTTAGGTCTACCCTTCCTTCGGGATAGGTTGATCTTTTGCCTTCAGCCTGGATGGCCTGCAGGCTTCTAGAGACGTGAAATGGATTGAAGATGCCAGAATTGTGATCTAAAGCTATTTCCAAGAGCTGCTTCATCACATAAGAGAGAAGGGGCTCTTTGTATCCACTCTTGTGACCAGACCAAAGTCGTTCAACCTGTTTGAGTGCTTAGCTCACATATTTGTGTGAAAACAGCCGACGTTCACATAACTGATAAACAAGGATACAGCTGCACAGTTAACTGAATATCAATCATGTTTTGGACTTTCCATAATTAAATGAGCAACAATGAAATTGCTTAAAACCGAAAGCAAATTGAAAGCAAAACTCCCTAAACATTCATGGGCAAATCATTGCCGTTCCCTACACTGTGCAATGTGAGGCATCCAGAGTGGAGTCAGCTGATGCCGCCACACTACGTCTGTCCATCTCCCGCTCCCCGTCACTCGTGAACAAGCCCACGGCAAAACGCGTCAGCAGCAACTCATCCCTGACCCAGAGTGTACCCTCCTCACTATTCTCATTCCTGCCGCTTCACACTCGGCTAAAAAACGCTCCAGCGTGACCTGGAGGCCACCGCCTGACGAAGCCAACAGAACCACATCATCCATAAAAAGCAGAGACGAGATCCTGAGGTCACTGAAGTGGGACCCTTCTGCTACTTCTGTTCATAATAAATGTAAACAGACTCAATTAGGGGATCAATCAATACAATCAGAAGTAACAGGCAGATCTATAGATTTTTGTAAAGTAGGGTGATAGACCCATTGCCTTTACTGTACACCGATGAGTCATGCTCACCCACCTGAGCCAGAAAATGTCCTGACAACTCTGATAGAGTGACGTCCAGGACAGAGTACCACAAAATAGGGAAACAATGGCCAACCTAATTTTGAAAAAATAAAAATATCCCAAACACGATTCTAGTTTCTAGGCCATGATTTGACAAACAGGGTAAGAACTTGTTGTACAGTCAGAAGAGACGATTCTTTTAGCTGCTGCTTTACTTGTGATGGATCCACATGCTTGAGTCTCAGAGGCTGGGTTTCAAACTTTCCCATATCAAAAATGGAGCTACTCAAAGTGAAGAGCTTTCTTATGTGTCTTAACACAGGGATATGTTGAAAGAGCACAGACACACATCACTTACAGAGGAGCCTCCAGTATCATAATTTTACCTTATGCTAATTAGAAATTGATTATCTGCATTTGTACAGTCTTGTCATACCAATAATGAAAGTGTTGAAGGCCCTGAAGCTAAAGACCAAGTCGAATAAGAAACCTAGGGTGTGTGCAATGAAGCATGCTGTTGGTGCTGAGCTGCTGTGGAGGCCTTCTTCATTATTAAAACACAAATTGAAATATGCCATGCTTAGGCGGTATGACTCAAACATCTCAAGAGTGGCAAAATAAAAATCCATCAATTTGTTTTGTGCTTCTTCTTGGTTTAATTGCTGGAGGGTTTAATACTTAGAGTGATTCAAATCCTTCAGAAAGTAAAACATGCTGGGATACCAGCATAAAATACATGAAAACAAAATCACTAACAATAATTATGTGTCTGTGGTTGTGTGTTATTTGCTAATACGTTCAAGAATAAATTCATGTATTTACCATAAATTCATTGGTTAAGTTAGTGGGAGATTTTCCTGCTGACATACAGGTGCAGTAAAGTCCTGGTAGGTGTTTACCTTGTGAGTCTGGAGGAGCAAGTGTATTGATCTGAGGAAGGTGGAAGGTGCTGGGTGGAGGCTGCAATGTATTTCCCATTGCTGGTGTGTGCAAAGGCTGCTGGGAAGAAGTCTTTGCCTCATACAGGAAGACTGTGGCCTGCCTCTGAAGCACCTGAAGGGGAGGGGACATAGATGAAGGCAGTAAAGTAAAGACATTACAACAGATGCATGTTGCAAAGAAGAGCAATCGCACAAACACGAAAAAAAAGCCCTACCTGTATGGTGAGGCAGTATGTCACCACCATGATTACGAGCGGGATGAAAAAGGCCACAAAGGAGCCAATCAGCACGAAGCGCTCCTCGTTGAGGACACAGCTGCCGTTGACGAAGACCTTGTCCTTGTTGTGCAGGCCAATCACTGGAATGGGCATTGACACGCCTACAGAAAGAAAGAACGAGGGTAGCAGGAGAAAAGTCTGAACATCTTTCATTTGTAATATTTTGTGGGAACATTTTGGTGCATGCCCCTCCCTCATTTCCTAGGTTATTAAAAGGAAAGGCTGCATGGCATATATATTTTTTCCATGCGAACTGTAGCCTCTGTTCTTAGCTGACAGAAGTGGCATCCTGTGTGGTCTTCTGTAGCTGTAGCTCATCTGCTTCAAAGCTCAAGACGCTCTTCTGCAGACCTTGGTTGTGACAAATTGTTATTAAACTTGCAGTTGCCTTTCTTGCCAGTCTTGCCATTCTCCTTTGGCATCAACAATGCATCTTCACTCCTGCTGCTGATTGGATGTTTTCTCCACAAACCCTAAAGATGATTGTGGTTCTGCCTTGGGTTCAGATAGTTTTCCTTCTCTACTCTAGGTTCTGTGTGGTCTTCTCAGGTCTTCTTTGAGCACAGAAGCACCACCTATTTCGCCAAATATTTTGACTGTGAGGCACTGCCCATCAGAACAAAGACGGCTTGAAGGAAGAGGAGCTAAAACAACTTGTTTTGGACAGAGGATGTCCAAAACTGTGCTGCAGTCCAGTAATATAAATGTGGAGCTGGATGACCATTAAAATGTTTTTAAGAGTGTTAGAAGAGTGAATGGGAACAAAATATGAACAATAAGGGCAATTTTTAGGATTTGTCTTTGTAGTGTTGTTATATTACACAGGCATAGCACAAGCAAAAGATGAATACCAATGAGTTAGAATGTAAATTGAAACAGTGGTATGCTGGGGAACTGCTGGACCTGACATTCAAGCAAATGTTAGTTTGACATGAACCTAATATACACTCCAAAAGCACCAGGCAGGAATGGCATCGCCCAGCAGGATAATATACAGGGTGACGTTGGAAAAAACTGCAGAGGAAGAGCTCAAGCAAGATAACAAAGAGCCACATTTTTTCACTCCAAACTCCCCAGATGCCAATCTGACCAAACATACTTGGAATGCAATGAAATGAGCCTGGTTAGCAGAAGCTCCGCCCTGCAACAGAACCCAGAGTATTCACTGCAAACCCCATGATGCCAGACACCACAGAAAATCCCCAGAGGTCCCACATCCACACCCCAGCAGGTGTCAGAGACATTTGGAGGCACAAAGCTGAATGTACTGATTGGAATCTCATGCAGGTTGTATTAATGTTCTGGTTCTGTATACACCATTTTTCACTCCATGCATCGAGTAACTAAAGCTGTATCTAATGATTCCTATTGCAAATTCCCATTGCAGTTTTTAAGGTAATGATTAATTACACCTGAAACAACACCACTTTCCACTCAGTTTTAGCGTTAGGTTACTTTAAATGCTCAGAGCCGAAGTCATTACCTGGAAACACAGAGGGTCATTTTCAGAGTAATAATCATAAATCATGGCTAGAAAATGCAACATTATCTCTGAAAACACATTTGGTGGTTTGTACCCCCGGTCCGTGAACACGCTCCTTTTATGATAATGAAAGTAAATAACTATAAGGTGCTGTAGAATAACACATTAAATATATTAAATGAGAGCTGGATCTGTAGAAATCTATCAGTGTGTAATGGATGTTTATAGCGGTGCTTTGGTGCTGTTAGAGGATACTGCTGATAAAAGCCTGAGGTGAGAGGCATCCTTTGAGACAGAGCTGATTTTCTGACCTATGATAATAACACTGACTAATGTGCCGTTTCTGATTTCAAAGAGCGCTTGTGTTAAAAGTGTCTGCTGCCCTGGGCTCTGTTTCAGAACGGAGATACCGAGGGGAGAAGCAGCGACGTGTTTTAAAGCTCTACAGGCAACAGCACTGTTTTACAGACTGGTCGCAAATCTCGGTCCCCTTTTAGCTGTTTAATGCCAGAAGTGTGGGCAGGTGTAAGTGCAAGATCTATCGTTTTCTCTCGGACTGCTGGCGACCGGGCCAACATCAAAATGCAATTTGGAGTCGTAGCGGCTCCCCTAATGCAATCGTTGCAATCGACTGCACACACACGCTGCCCAGAAGGATGAATTTGTCCGCATTAAAAGTACATTTTACTTTTGTGAATGTCCAAATAACTTATGAATGTAAATAGAGTTGAGTAAAGAGGCTGTCCAGCGGTCTTGGTCGCACACAGTGTGTAGACCAACGGCTCCCAGCTTTTTGCTTATAATGTCCTTCAGGTTGACTCAATGATGAACTTTATTAACACCACCTCTCACAATCAAATATCTTTATTTCAACTTCTTTTAAACTCGACCTGCACTACTTTCAGTTATGGTTAGAAAAATGTTTCCAGTATTTCCACCTAACTATGGGCTTACTATTTTAGAAATCTATCCACAAATTGATTCTACGACTCAGTTTAATAGCTGTTGGTTATGTTTAGCTGTCCCAGTTTGTCGTTACGATTAGCTAACAACTCTATATGTTATTCATGCTGTTAGATAATGATTTAAATTGATTATCTTACCTTTTAATTATTTCAACTTTAAACCAACACATCCCACTGCAAGCTGTAGTGTTAGCTAGCTACTAATATTTGACATTTTTTTCCATAATTTCAGCTAGCGTTACCAATGTTTGATCCAGTATGGTTAGCTAGTCTACAATCAGAGATTGAAACCCCTGGGTGCTGGTTTAGGTCAGTTGGACGAGCAGGTGACCATACGCTGCATGGCTGCGAGCGGCTGGCCCGGGTTTGAGTCCGACCCATTGCTCCATGTCTCCCCCTCTGCTTTCTTGTTAGCCTTCACTGTATCTGTGTAATAAAGCCAGTAAAAGGCTGAAAAATATATATATAAAAATTGCAGGCCCTCTCTGTAACACACCCAAAGAAAGATTCTAGGTCTGACCAACCGTCTCAGTCGTGGGCAAAAAGATGAGAGTCAATAAAATTCTAAAAGATAATTTATTGACAAAACATATCAAGAGATAAAAGATAAAACAGTCCAGTGTCCCATTTATGAATCATATAAAAAACACACAGTCCCAAGGCCAGAGCCAGCTATGCCACACGGCCAGTTGCACTCCACGTGTTGCCTTTAACAGGGTTAGAAGTTGTCCTTGGAGACCCACCACCCTGCAAGCATATAGCCAGTGGTCACTCCAGCCTCTGCAACTCTGCTGCCTTTAGGCTGTGGCATATAATAGGCCCTGGCCTGCACAGAGAGACAAAATGACACTTTCACTATAGAATTCATAGCACAAAACCCATACATCCCAAACATATTTGATTTCATCACATTACATACCTGCACAGAGAGACAAAATGATACAGCAGTGTTTGTAGTGTGGGCTATAAGTAGACCAGTGTATCAGTGCAATCAAGTACACCTGCCTCTAATTAGTCCAACCCCATTCCAGCCATTGGCTCACCAAAAATGTGACACACACACACACACACACACACACACACACACACACACACACACACACACAAAACCACTCCCAACCCAGTGCAACTTCACACAATAATATGGAGCTGAATTAACACAGGCACATTAGTCTACCATGTTACACTCTCTCCTTCATATCTCCATACCTATGGCATTTAAACAACTGTTCTTGCACTTTTCATTCTTTTCCTGATTCACTCATCACTTCATTCATGAGCTTCTCAAATTACTCCTTCCACTTTTTAGATAGACTCTCTTTACTTATTAGTCCAGTTTCACCTCAGGCCTTAGGCACCCCTAATCTGCAGTACATATTTTCAAGCTTGATCCCTCTGCCAGGCCAGTTCTTCCACAAAGTTCAGTTTCACATAGATCTCAGTAAAAAAGGACAATTCCCATACCGGGAGTTGAACACAGGCCACCTGGGTAAAATGGGACATGACAAAGGAAAACAAAATTTCTAAACAAATGGGAGAAAATAAACAGCTGGCTACATCTGCAGAGCCCTGTTCTTTTGGAGATTTCCTTGAGATCAAAGGAACAACTTCACTAAGAGTTTATTAAAGGTGACACTGAGTTGTTATAGATGCTAAAACCATCCACAAGGTTCTCTACAAGAGACGAGCCTGGAACTCTGGGATTAGACTTTTTGCACCAAGTTCAAGTTCAAATTTTATTCACCACATGCAGTGGCAGGTTGCCCTGCAGTGGAATGAACCCGCCTCCCGACCTTACACACACAACAGAGACATCACATGGGGATACAAGTCAGAGAACGGTTGCATTACAGAAAAACCACTGAAATGTACACTACAATGCGAAAGTATAAGAGGAAAAAAAGAGACCTCTACTCATGCTGGGCTGGAGGACAGCATGAGAACAGGAAACAAAAAAACCTCCTCTGCACAGAAAGCACATAAATGTCCACAGTACAACATTATAGAGCACGTGACAGCAACAGGGTTGTGTAGGGGATGAGGAGTAATCCCAGGCAACACAGCAGCCATCCTGCCACTGCGCCGACTCTCCAGCGTGGGCCCAGACCCGCCCGTGTTCCCCAGGAGGATACAAGCATCGAAGGCGTTGGAAGGGGAGGGGGATGAGTGAGTGCTTGTCAGTGTAAATGTATGTGTGTGCGTGTCCATAGTTCAGTGTCCTTCGCCCTACCAGGCTAAGTAAACAGTCTACAAGCCAACCCAGGTGGCCTTGCATGCAGTGGGAAGAACAGTCTAAACACAGTCGTTTAGAGTTTTGTTCAGCTCCAGCCTTGAGCCCACAGCTAGCGCCGAAGGGATAGCCGCATTATGATGGTGATTTTTCGTTTGTGCGAACAACTCATGAGAATTTCAAAGCTGCTCTTTAACACGCCGACACCGACACTGGTCTCTCAATCTCCCGTTTGAGAGCCGCGAGCTTCTCCATGATGTTATCAAACTTGCACTCCGTGGTGTTGTCATTCTTGTGCCCAGAGAACTCACGACTACAGTGAGCTGCTCCACGATGTGATCCAACTTTCGCTCAGAGGTGTTATTCTGAGTATTCACTGCAGCCGTGAGCTTGTCCAAGCTCTTAACCATGCTGCACTCAGTG